CACGGCTCTTCTTGTGCTTGTGAGCGAGCTTCTTCACGTGGCCGTCGGCCTTGCCGCTGCTCAGCCGACGCACCGGGCTGGTCAGCCATTTTCGCAGCGTGTTCCCTAGGAATGAAACGCACCGCGATTAGCGAGGTGAAGAAGCAACAAGGAGACTTTAAAAGTGTATGTTGGTTGTAAAGATTTGTGAAGTTCTGAATTACAAAATTGCTAAAAATAAATGGAAGATAAATCTGAATTACAAAATTGCTAAAAATAAATTAAAAAAATGAAAGAATAAATGAAAAATAAATAAAAAATAAATAAAAATAAAAAATAGGCCACAAATTTAAAAAAAAAAAACAGGCATTGTCAAGGCAGACTCAGAAAGTGATTTTTTAATGAATATTATATCTGTAAAATTTGGAAATAATAGAAAAAAAACACCAAAATTCTACTAATATATATCTGATTAATTTTACCTTTTTTAACAGTAAATCAGACAAAACATTAGGACTACTTGAATTTTTACTGATTTATCCAGGTATAGCAAGTTTTTAGACAACCAAAAATGTTTTGGGTTCTGTAGAAATGACTGAAGCTGGAATCTTACCTGGTCTTTTTGGGCCCGGAGAGCTGTGGGAGCCAATCCCTTGCCCGGGTAGAAGTGTGGCAGACGACCCTGGCAGGATGGAGTCGTTGCTGCAGACTGACAGAGTGTCTGCGACACGGGGAACAACACAAAACAGTGTAAATACTTGACATCATTTTTACACGGTCAAACCTATTCCTCCACACAGACCTTTGTGGTTGAAGATGCCCTCCATCTCCATGGAAGACCTGGAGTGAGCGATGCAGAGCATGGAGCAGGGCACCAGACCCTCCAGGGCCGGAGACCGATCTGTGGTCCTGACCAGGCACCAGTCGGGCTTGTCGTGACACCTCTCCAGCACCTCCACCGTCTGACCACGCCGCACAGTCAGCTCGTTGCTGTTGCTGGCCATGAAGTCGTGTATGACCACGGTCAGCTCACAGCCGCCGGAGAGCTGAAACGAAAAAGATAAAAACAAAGTTTGGTACTCTCAGGTTATGCATGTTGAAAATAAGTCGAGTAAAATATAGTTCTAGTTATATGAAATATTTGACAACAGAACTTATCACTGAATCACTGGAAAAAAAAACTATGCTAAAAAATGCAAATATTGAATAAAAAAACAGAAAAACAAAAATCAAAGCAAAGACTATTAATAACAATTAAAAAATACTACAAATACTACTACTATTACAGTTTTTATTATAATTATTATTGCCTTTTTTATTTTTGTAATTATATATATATTGTATTATTAATATTAATATTATTGAGTTTTTATTATAATTATTATTGCCATTATTTTTATTATTTTTTATTTTGTAATTATATACATATATTGCATTATTAATATTAATATTATTGAGTTTTTATTATAATTTTTATTGCCATTATTTTTTATTATTTTTTATTTTGTAATTATATACATATATTGTATTATTAATATTGATATTATTGAGTTTTTATTATAATTTTTATTGCCATTATTTTTTATTATTTTTTATTTTGTAATTATATATATATTGGATTATTAATATTAATATTATTGATATTATTATTATCAATATTATTTTTTTATTATTACATCATGAGGAAACATGCCTATTGATCACACTTGTATTTCAAAATTCACATTTCCTCTGTCAACAAATATATCGCCTACACACTTCTATTTACCAAGTCTCTGCCTGTTATGATTTAGATTCACCAGTAGATGGCGATGGTAAGCTACATCTATACGCACCGTGAATTGCATAAATCACGGAATTTGCACTTATCCCTCAAATTGGGGCACCCATAGCAAACATGGCCACAGTGGGTGTTCACACATAACAACACACACAATATTTGTTGTCTTTTTCCGACTCTTCGCATTCACAGGTTTTTCTTACCTTGTCACTGTCCAGTGTGTTCTGAGAGGTGCGAGATGCCAGAGAGATGGTGTCTGGCTGGCTGCTGCCCTCGCCCCGACTGTCCAGATCCTCTCCGTCCCTGACACACAAACGCACACAAGTCCACGTTAGAGTCACGACAACAGTGAATAATAAAATAATCGACTTTGACGATCTTTACCTTCGCCCCTTGTGGTGCTTGGCCGTAGTTGCCTTCGGAATATGAATGGGCTCTTTGAGGGCTCCTCTCAGGTGAATGGTCCGCTCCTGGATCACCTCCCTGATGTGCTTGATCCAGTCCTGCTTGTTCTCGATGCTGGACGCCTGAAAACGATCAGCGTATTGGGGATTAAGTCCCGATCTGACGCCGACGGGAACTGGAATTCCAACTGAAATTCTAGTTTCACTCTGTGTGTGTGTGTGTCGCACAAGTCTGAATTCGCCTCTTGTCATTTCTTATCAGCTGCAACCAAGTGTATTCAAGCTGCACGACTGATGGTCGACTAGATCTATGTATGTTTGAGAGAATCTTACGGGGCAGGAAGACTGAGGAAATGTCGGAAAATGTTGGAAATAAACTCAGTTTAATCAAATTGACATAGATGCCAAACATACATCAACAATATATACAAATAAAATGCCAAGAGTGTGTCCTTCAGACTTGTGCCGAGTGGCTGAGGGCTGTGTTGTGGGGCAGTTCGTACTCACCGTGGCTCCGTGTTTGGATCCCTGACTTAGCTTTGAATTTGAAATATAAAATAGAGAATTTTACAGGTGTGATTTAAAGGTTCACGTCACGTTCTTTTGCCGACAGATGACACAACACACTGAAAACACACAACACGAACACTTGGACGTCAAAAGTGCGGCAAAGCCGACTCGACATCGTATATATATCGTATTGATATAATGGGTTATATCTATAACGCGTGATTGAATGAGAGACAGCATGGACACGGTTCATCTACAACTGCACGACTGCTTCCTAGC